TCTCAGACAATATCCGGCGGATCTCGATCTTATGTCTGTCCCACTGTGTCTGGTAAGATTATTTTCCGTGGCATAACGTCACATTTTAGAATACTATTCAAATAAGGGGAAGTGAACGACAATAGCTCTTATGCTGAATCTCGCTATGTTTTGGTTTGTTAACGAAGATAATTTATTGGTTGATTCACTACTGCTTCTATAAAATGGGGCGATGAACTGTTTAGCCTGGAGGCCGGTGAGTAATATAAGAAAGTAATTTATAGAGGCGCATTCAAGTTTCAATAGCGCGAAATATTTTGATTTAATTTTTATTGAACTCGAACAAGTTTGACCTATGATATACGCAGCCTTTAGTACTTAATAATAAAGGTGGTATACTTTTGTTACCTCGAAAAGCATCAATGAACATGAAACAAAATAAAATTATAATAAATTACAGTACCGTAAACCTCCGACTATAAGCCCTGGGCTTATATAAGTTCGTGAGGGTTTTTTGATGGGCTTACACACGGGAGGGCTTATATACGGAGGGGGGGCTTATACATGGACAACATTTAGGGTTTATATAGAACAAGTACCGTTTTTATTGTCGAGGTATAAACACGAAAATAAACAAGAATTACAGATAAACAAACATTAACATGTTAAGCTACTGAGTATTGTTGTCTCAATATTAAGATAATCAAACGTCCTCCGCGTCGTCTGAGTTGTCTGTACTGCATTCGAATTCTGCTAATACGCAACTTTGCTCGACCTGTAAGTGGGCTTATATTCGGGGGGCTTATATTTGGAATGACGTGAATGTTAATAATGTGATGGGCTTATAGACGGGGGGGGCTTATATTCGGGGGGGCTTATGGTCGGAGGTTTACGGTAATTGTAAAATGAATCAAGGTGTTTAAAAAATGCAGATTCTATGCCCAAAATTCACTGCATTATTTGAATGTAGTCTTGTAGAAAGTATGATTGACGTTCACCTCTGCCTATAGCTGTCAAATATCAAATTGGCTATATTGTAACTGGGGTACAGTACTGATTTTCAGACAGGAAGATGTGGAAAGTATAATTCACTGCCAATTTTAGACCAACATTTCAAATATTAAATTTGCTATATATATATATATATAATATATATTATATATAATATATAATATATATATATATATATACATATATATAATAATATAATATATATATATAATAATAATATATATACATATATATATATATATATATATATATATATATCATATATATATATTTAATTTGTTAAATTTTGTAAAAAATTATATATTTATATCTACATATCAAAGTTTCCCTTATAACCATGAGAAGTATTATTAACTGTATGCAATTACTGCAGGTTTTTCATTTTTCCAATCCAGTTAAGCTATGTTAATGCATTTTCTTATTTTGCCCTCATTGATGTCACACTAATTGTCCTGGTCTCCAAAAATTTCTGAATAAAAACTGTTACCTATCCCTAAAATTAATCTAAACATTAAAGTAAAGATTTTTCATTCAGATTTTCGGCAGGAATATTTCCTTTTGATAATAACTTCCAGTTATTCAGTAACAAGCTGGAATTTTGTTTTAAACTAATCCGCAGAAACATATTTGTTTACGTTTTTCATACAAAGCCAATCAGAATATTTAAATTTTTAACACTTCATGTAAAATGGTAATAACTGTGCCTTTTTACTGGAAGTAGTCAACATTTATGCATTCTGATTGGGTTTCTGAAAATATAGACAAACTCACGGATTGAAACTTGCCCCCCTCCCTTGCTTACTGCAGTACAATTAACGATTTTACCAAAATAAATGAAATGGTAGAAAGTTTTTTGCATACAATCTAAACTGCCATATCAGGATCAGAAAGGTATAGAGTTTCTGGTCACACACTTGACATTCCTGTTTCTTCAAGCTTCATATTTTGCATGTAACAAAATATAGAATAGCATTGTCACATGTGTGACCATGCAGAGAATCACCCTATAGGTAAGCAAACATACTGCCAGAAGTACAAAATAGTGAGTAAAAGTTAGACACTGTTATTCGAGAAGGTTTTAACATCATGAGATTTCAATATTCCTATTGTACTGCTTTTCTGGAAGTTGATTGAGGAACCCCACTTTATACTACAAAATATATTATTTTACTTTAGATAACATGAAATTCTAAAAAACTCTCCTCAGAAAGGCTCTCAGGTCAAAACGTTGAGAAGTGTTTTTTGTCTAACTTAGGCAGTAATTGTTATACCAAATTTGATGCTAAGTTTTCATACTAATACTATATACGTATATAGGCAAATTATTATCAGTGAAAAAAGTTATGAATTGTATGAATGTGCAATTACCATATATACAGTCCATAGAAATAATAGATATTATTGTATGTAAAATAATATGTTTATTATTTCTATGATACAGTCACAAACACTAGATAAACTTATATGACTGCAAATGGAAGAAATTTTTAAACAGAACACCTAACCAAATATTAACTTACCTTTAATCTTTCACTATTTTACTTAAGCTAAACAAAATACAATATTTTATTTTAATTCATCTCCAGGACAAAAGAGTCCAGTCCTGAAAATTTTTACTTTAGAGATATTGTCCACAAATGTATGGGGATTGAATGTGATTTTTTGTTTGCTATGAAAAATATATAATCAAGGTCTTGCATACAGTATATTCATAGATTAAGGAAACAATACAATAGAACAATGAAACAATTAATAGAGAAAGCCAATCAACATTTAACTTGTTTACTGAGGGTATATGCTGATTAATTAATCCCCGAGCCGGTGCGGAGCACCGTGCGAGGGTACTAATTCCGCTCGGATATTTACACCTACGATATGCAAATACGAAATCAAAGTCATCCGCCATTATGCAATCGACCTCACGCCATGGACGGTCTTCTACGTTTTGCGCATGCGCCAGTGTGAACTACTAAGCTCTTGATTGGTCGAGAAAAAAATTTGTATTTTCAAACGTAAATGAATAACTGTCCGCATTTAGCAAAATTGTGATGAAATTTACAAATTTCATATTTTTATAAATATTGAATATATGTATTTTTACTAAATTAGAAGGAAACTTGAATGAGGTCAGGACTTTTCACGGTTTAACAGATAACAAGACCAAATTTTCGACCGAATTCACCGTGTATGATCACTACTATGATGAAGTCGGAAGATTTTACACTTGATAATCATGATTTCATCCGGCACAGCTTTAAAAAGTAATTATTTTGTGGTAAACACAGTTGTAATATTCTCAAATGTATTTCACTATAAGTCTGAATGTGTTATGTGATAAACGACATTATAATTTTATTTATAAACTCCGTTTTCATAATGAAAAAAGAAAACAAAATCAAAACATTCCCGTACAAAAACCAGTCGAAGCGTTGTATGAGACGTCCGATGTTATATTTCATGGTATTTAATAATTAAAATAATTTACCATAACACTCACTATAGATGAGTAACTTAACTTCCAGAAAATGGTACGAATCTTGTCGTATTTTTGCCATTTTTTCACAAAAATATGAGGGTAAACTTTGACTCTTTACAAATATTCGGCCGTTAGGAGTTGCTATGACTACAGTGTTTCCACGTGCAGAAAAATATTTCCATACTTTTCTCAATTTCTATTTCTCACATACCATGTACCTTCCAAGACCCCGAAATCACATAAAATTTCTAACAATCATTATCTAATTTTGTTTAACCGAGGCGAGGGGTTGCTGCAAAATTTTATGTTTTATTCTTATGTTCTTTATATATTTTGAAGAGAAGAAATATCTAGCATCTCAGTACAACGTCACTGGTATTAATATCATAAATGATCATAATTTTTAATTGTATATTGGCCCTTTTTGAAATATCCAAGTACTGTCGGATGTGAATTGGCTTCACTTATGAATATGTGTCAATGAAATATGCAGTTGGATGCCTATTGACAAAGCAATACCTTGCCAAATGCCTTATATACTGCAGAGTCTTTTTCCTATGGGCATAATTGCCTTCTTGTACCTCACTTATACCTACATAATTTTGAGGCTGGGATCTAGGCCAAATTTCTCTTTAAATCTCTTCTCTGAGAGGCAATATGTATCCAAATTCTTTCTGTAAAGACATCTATATTACTTTCACACCCTAACTGAAAAAAGCTATAATTACAAACCTAATCCAGTTTGTGCAAATACGTTGTTTATAAACTGGTTTAGGTTAATACTACTATGTTGTGAACATAGTAACTGTAACTGTAACTTATCAATCTCACTCTAGGAGACTTTATAATAATTAATAATAAGGTCGACTAAAGGTGATTTAAAGTAACTTTTAGGCGGACCAAAGGTGATTTTAGGGCTTAGTGTAAGCCTATTAATTATGACTTAGGCCTGGTTTATACAGCGTGCTATAAGCGCACCAAACCAATTTTTCTATTAGAACGTTCAGAGCACGCTGATAGAACGCAGTCCGATTTATACGTAAAATATGCTTGAGCCATTCAGTGGCTTGAGCCGGCCAATAGACAATTTGTCAGTATGGCGTCTCGTAGAAGATCACAGATACGAGATTTTATAATTTTTAAAACATTAAAAGCGAATTGGAAGAGGAAGCAAAACATACAAAACATGGTGTATTTACTTTTAAAGCGCCAACAACTGTTGTTGACTGTTTTGGCACTGATATCATTAGTTTTATCATCAACGAAAATCGCGACTACAATTCCCAGGATACGAAATTGCAGACGAAAGCCGCGACGAACAGGTTGGTGGCAGTCTGTTTGGAATACGTATTCAGAAAAACGTTTTAAAAAAACATTCCGGATAAGCAGAGAAACTTTTATTTTCATTTTGGAAAAAATAAAGGGTAATATTCAACATAAAAGCTTTATTGAGGAACCAATTTCACCAGCATGCAGATTGGGGATTGCCTTGTACAGGCTTTCTCGTGGGGACTATTACTACACAATTTCTGAAATGACAGGCTTTGGTGTTACAACAGTGTGCAATATAACAATAGAGGTTTCGCAAGCAATCGTAAAACGTCTCTGGAAGGAAACTGTCTCAGATAAGTTCCCCTCAACACTAGACCAATTTAAAGACAGTGCATTGGATATGGAACAGTTGTGGCAATTTCCCTTGGCATTCTCTGCATTAGATGGTTGTCATATCCCAATTAAAATGCCGAGTGGTGGACCAGAATCTGCTAAAGAATATCACAATTTTAAGAACTTTTTTTCCATTGTACTCATGGGAATGGTTGATGCAAAAATGCAATTTATCTGGGCAAGTGTTGGCTGCCCTGGAAGCAATCATGACTCTATCATATTCAGATCAACTAATCTCCATAAAAAGATAATGGAAAACAATATTCTACCAGCATATACTAAACTTATAGAAGATATTCAAGTTCCTTTCATTATTCTTGCTGATTCAGCATTTCCTCACTTGCCTTGCATTCAGAAGCCATACACCAATGCTGTTTTATCAGAAAAGCAACGTTATTTTAATTATAGGCTCAGTCGAGCAAGGATGGTTGTGGAAAGTGCATATGGAATGCTCAAGTCAAGGTGGAGAGTACTCCATAGAAAATGTGACAGCAACAATGACACAATGAAAGTAAAAACTCTGGCATGTATTGTCTTGCACAATATATGCATTGACAAAGGCGAAACAATCCCCAAAAGTTTAGATCTTACAGTGAATCCTGCAACAAAGCAATTGAGACCACGACACATTATCAGGAATTTGTTGCATATGACAAGGTCTCATCCAATGAAGAGTACAACAAAATCTGCAACACTTATCAGAGATGCCTTAACTAAAAAGTTTTGGAAGGAAAAAAAACTGGTGTTGTTTAGTTTGAAACATTTTTTGTTTATAAAATAGACTCCTTCATTCCACACGGCATGAGGTCTTGTAATGAACCTGGTATTAATGTTCAGTAACTTTAACTGAACGAATTAATATTTGTGTAAATTCCCTCATTTATAATTAGCATGTGCAAGAATAGTTTTAAAAAGACAAATAAAATTTCAGCTAAGAAGAGTAGTTTGGCAAATAGAACTTTCTAAAAAATGGGCAAATGATTGAACACCTTTTTCTAAATTAACTTCATATTAAATATTTAGGAAAATTGAATATTAACAAAAATATAGTAATAGGTGTAACCTCACTAGTCCAATAATGTAACATTTCTTTCACAAAAAAGCAGATGTACAGAACTACCATCAAATTTACCACCTCAGTCTGTAAATAGTATAAAAGAAAGAGGGCATTTTCTCTTGCATACATACATATTCTCTTGTTTTTTAATTTAAATAAATTTCCTATTTATACAAGTTTACAAATAAGGTGGCAAAAGAAATTATCTTGAAGGTAATTACATATAAACTGGCCAGAACTATAGGCCAGAAATCTCCCAACAAAATGTCAAAATCTCCCAACAAGCAATGTATGAAACAAAATGTCAAAATCTCCCAACAAGCAATGTATGAAACAAAATGTCAACAATATAATAACTTTTCTGATGAAAAAAACCTTCAAGGTTCAAAATAATCCAGCATGATTATTTAGACCATCAGACTGGTTTAATCCATGTGGATAGTTAGAAATATTGGCAGAACTAACTGGAACTGAATTTAACTGAGTTAATCTATAATTTTCTTGGGAACCATGATTTCCAAATGGTAATGTAACTTGAGATGATGTGCTTGCAGGAACATATGATGGCCAGCTTTGTGGGATGGGACTCCTAGTCATTGGTCTGTCTGGTAAATTGGCCATTGGATTTGGGTGACTATGTTCAAAATGTTGTGGTGCCTGTGGCTGGGCTGATGGAATCAACAATTTTAGCATTTCTAATTCATGAGCTCGTGCACGAGCATTCTCTTTCTCCATGAATTCTAAAAAACTAGAGGTTTGTTGATTTTGCAACAGTGACTGAACAGTTTGAAGTACTTCAGTAGTTTTTTCTATCAGTTTGTTATCTCCCTTTTTATTTTTTCGTGTTGGAATTTTTGGAACGAACAACTTTTCATCTGAATTCTTGGAGTCACTTTCCTCAGGATCGTCAAGTAAACTGGTCCCACTCTCTTTATCTGATGTTATGGGATCTGTATGCCCAGCACTTGGCTCCAAAGCCTGTTCGGGTTGACAACTTTCACGCGACTTTATCAAAGGAAACAACATATCAAACCACTTTGAGTAGTTCTTTTTGTCCTTATAGTTGCTAATTCCAGTGGCTGTTTTAAGTATCATGTTGGCCTGTTTGCATTCACTTACAAGTTTCTTGAATTTATTTCGCATTTGTGTGACAGTTTTCTCAAATACAGAATTCCTCTCTCCTGCACGCTTCTTTAATTCCTTCTGGATACTTTCATAATTTGATTTATTTGTTTTGGTTTTAGTATTTTGAAAAATAAGCTTTCGTTTATGGTTCTCGTCGTTAGTAATAATGTCCACAAAATCATCCAAATCCTCGTCTTTCCATTCACATTTTTTCCCTCTTTTTCGTTTTTTCCCCCTAAGTGCAGCATTCATAATTTCGCCCATAACATCACTTTCACCGTCATCATGCTCCAGGTCACTATCGTAATTATTTGTTTCCGACAATTCTGAAGGAGATACGCTGCGTTCCTCCGATTTTTCGCCTCTACTACAAATACCACTAGATTCATGAACATTGGGCTTTCTATTGCAATCTCTACAGTACGAAACACTCACAAATTCTATCTGTAGGCTCTCCTCTGCTGGAATGCTACACTCTAAACTTCTGTTGCATATTGGTTTCCCACAATCTAGGCAAGTATATTTTGTATATTCTCCACACACGGAGCATCCCCTGGATTTATTGTCCGCCATTTTATTCAGAGAAATGCGACTCCCTGTTGCATCTTGGGAAAAAATTAAATATTTCGTACATTATAATAAATTATCTGCAATTATCTTATAGTTTGGTCTGCTGTTAGCACGATCCTATAAATCAACAGCGTGCTCAACCGTGCTATTAGCGTTCCGCACGCCTTTGAAGTACGAGCCGCACGGTGACAAGCGAACTTAATTTTCACAGCGAACCAATTTTGATTTATACAGCGTGCTATTATCGAGCCAATAAACTAAAATTGGCTAAGTAATTAGTTCGGTGCGCTTATAGCACGCTGTATAAACCAGGCCTTATACTCACCTTTAAACAATAATTCGCCAATGGCGAGGTCACAAATATGCAACTCAGCAATCACATGATTATGTGCGTCTGAGTTCTATAGTGCTGGATTAAATTCCTACTTTAAATAGTTGGTATACAACAACCTTTTTATCCCCCGATTTCGGGGATTCCCCGAAATTCCCGAATCACGGCGTGGAGGCCTGGGGCCGGTTATTCAAAAACCGATAAGTTTAACCCTGGTTAAAGCAAATCTTTTCATGATTTTTTTTATCGCTTGTTTACAAAGTTGAATATCTTTTTTCATAAATATTTTACACTTGAAAAGGTTGTCCTGAGCAAGTATATGTATATATCGATCACGTGACATTATTATGCATCAACACGCGTGGGATTGTACAAGCGTGTTAATTGCGAGTTCGAGTATAGCAAGGTGAACGATTAGAAAATGCCAAGGCCCAAGACCATGCATATTCGGATGATTTAAGGTGGAGAATGGTTTATCAACGACTGTTCTACGAAAGAATCATCGACGAAATTGCAGCACAGCTATTTGTTTGTTCAAAAACCGTCTATCATACTCTCAGCAACTTTTGGAACACGGGTGATGTGAAGCCTTGCCGTATGGGTCGCCCAACAGCGAGCGTATCTTTAATCCCACACGAAGAATATATTATCATGGACTGTTTACTGCGAACGCCGCAAATATAGTTGAATGAGATAGCAAGCTATATCATTAATGCTACTGGCTCTGCATTTGGCCCGGAGACACTGTGCCGAGCTCTCTATAGGCTTGGAATAACACGCAAAAAGGTACGAACATTGTGATATTATTTAAGTTGGAATATATACTTAATACCGCACGCTGGAAATCATATAACTATATTAATAAGACGCAAGCCATTCCACCTTTTTCCAATTTATTACAAGATTCTAGTTGTTCTTTATCAACTCTTCAAGCCAGATTTTCTTTTTCAGATACAGAGAATTGCCCTTCAGCGAAGAAACGATATATATTGGGCTACAATTCATGGCCGAAATCCGCCTTTTTGACCCAAACCTGCTCGTTTTCCTCGATGAAACAGGCATTGTATGTACTAAATAATACCTTAGTGTAACTGGATTGCACAAACTAGTAGATCTTTTATTTATTTGGTTCTTCGTTTTAAGGATAAGCGAATTGCTCGGCAATATGGATATAGTGCTCGTGGGATACCGCCTGTTGTGAGCGACTATAGCTATGCACGGTGGACACCTCGCTATTCCATATGATTTCGGCAATATCGTATGATGGAGTTCTTGCGAACTGCATGTTTGTTAAAGAATCCTGAAGAAAGATTTGAAACACGCTCCTTTATCCATTTTCTTGATGAACAGCTTTTACCAGCTATGAATCGATTTGATGGGGAAAACCCGCTATCCGTTCTCGTTATATGGTTGAAATTTGAATATAATTAATGCAAATTCGCTGTTCTAACATATGTCTCAAGGGATGACTGAATTTGTGATCATGTTTTGATCTATTAATATCTGTTTAAACAAAACTTGTTGATGCACAAAGATGCAACTGCTAAAACTAGTAATATATGCATATTTGTTAACAGATAACCACCCAACACATCATGTACAAGAAGTTGTAGAACGAGTGTACGACAGTCCTGATTTGAATCCTATTTAAGAGGTTTACATATAGCTTGCTATCTCATTCAACTATATTTGCGGCGTTCGCAGTAAACAGTCCATGATAATATATTCTTCGTGTGGGAATAAAGATACGCTCGCTGTTGGGCGACCCATACGGCAAGGCTTTACATCACCCGTGTTCCAAAAGGTGCTGAGAGTACGATAGACGGTTTTTGAACAAACAAATAGCTGTGCTGCAATTTCGTCGATGATTCTTTCGTAGAACAGTCGTTGATAAACCATTCTCCACCTTAAATCATCCGAATATGGTCTTGGCATTTTCTAATCGTTCACCTTGCTATACTCGAACTCGCAATTAACACGCTTGTACAATCCCACGCGTGTTAATGCATAATAATGTCACGTGATCGATATATACATATACTTGCTCAGGACAACCTTTTTGACAACGACAGTATATATATATATATATATATAATATATATATATATATATAATATATATATATATATATATATATATATATATATATACTATATTAATAACTTATATTTCCATCACTGAAATTCTATAATACTCATTTCTGCTGAATGATAGAAGTCGTAAAGTAAAATCCTATATCATCTAGCACGCGGTCTCATGACTAAAATGGCGTGCGCTGATTTGTTCTTTGCCGGTCTGGAATCCCCAATATTAGACCGTTGCCGTAGTAACGGTCCAACTCTCATATTTTTGAACAAAAATAAGCTTGCACTTTCATTTTTGACACGAAAAATATCGACGGAGAATGAAATATCATATTTTTTCATCTTTGATTTTTGTTTATATTACTGTATCATTCTTATTTAACGTGTAAAAAACAAGGTTTTGAAAGCCACTTCAGTGCTTGCTTGGCGACTGGCTGGCGAAAGAGCCGGCAAGAATGCTGCAGCGCATTGTATAAATAAATAAACTAAATACTGTATGCCATATAATAAATCCTTTATCAACCGAATACGTTCGGTCCGTACTGGAAAAATATCAGACCTCGGTCTTTTATGTACGGACCTCGCTATCGCTCGGTCCGTACTGTCAAGACCTC